TGAGGGGTGAAACTGACAGTCACCATGCATTTTAAGCCTCATGTACACACTGCCTATAACTTTAAATAAATTATCTCTGATGTTGATATCTCTTTCCATATAAATATGGCAGATTTTGAAAAATACAGTCCAACACTGTATATCTATCTATCTCTCTATCTATCTATTTATCTATCTATCTACTTGCCAATATCTATTTATCTGCTTGTCAGTATCTATCTTCTTGTCAGTATCTATCTATCTATCTATCTATCTATCTATCTATCTATCTATCAATTTGCCTGTCATTAGATGTAGAGCTTTATCTCTTCGTTTCCTCTTTAAGATAGAGTTTCCGGTTACTTGTAAAGCTTTTACTTATGTAACCCTCTACCCCGAGTGGCTTTTGGGCCTTGTACAGGGTGAACATAATTGTAAAAACTGTTTGTAGCTGAATACTGGGATTATCAGTTTGCCAGGATTGAACAATTGCCATCTAGGTAGTGGGCAATCACTGTGAGTCCATTTTTTGGACTGCGCCTTAGTCCATGGAAAAGGCGATGTTCCCACATTTCATCGTATGTAAGCATTCAGCTCAAGATCTTTCCTAAAACATGGTCAAAATTGAGCTTTTGACTCTGAATCCATTCTGGAAAATTGTGAGTCATTGAAACGAGAAACCCACCGTGCTGATAATTTCCGTGTATGAATTTCCGTATATGCAAATGTTCATGGATGGATTTTACCACAGATCGCACATTAATCTTGGGCCTGACTACTAATTCTAACATTTTTTTGCTTTACTAATGTTTAAACAATACAAGACACAAGATTATCTCAAGGTACAAAATGAAGTTGTATGGATGTAAGAGAAGTAATTGCAGATTATTAGAATATGTAGAAAAGATAATGGTTAGATTTCTACTTGTAGACGTGGTAGTGATCGAGAAAGTACCCTCTCGGGAGTCTGTTCTACATGATACCTATTCTCGGAAGAAGCTATCTAGGTGAAACATCCATCTTATCAATGGAATACGAAGAGAAAATTTGATGGCTGCTACCACCACCAACAGCTGAATAAACACCGTTCTTACTAAAAGCAGACTATAGTGTCGATACTAGTACTAGATACCCTTATGCCTACTAGCAGGATCTCGTCTGGAGAGTTGGACAAACCCGAGCTCGTTTATGCAGGGTCTAAGGGAAATTTTTACCCAGGCCTATGAACTCGGAATCGCTCCACGTAAAAACCGGCCTTGTCGCACATCCCTCCTTCTGGGGAGGATTAAGTAATACCAGTCGCATCTGCGTCAGGCAGTTCGCTGCCGTGCACGCGACAGTCTTGTCGAACTCTCTGCCAGGCTCACGACAGACAATAGCTTTGTCTTCGGGTAAAGGGTGACTTACTCGGGGCTGTGTCTTCGGAGAGAGATTCGACTGAGAAAAACAGACAAGTAATATAGCCAAACTCGCTTTCGCGAGGATGGGTAAAGTTAAGTAATGAAAGTCTTGGTAATCCGTATGCATACTCCCAAGGAGGATGAAATCTGGAGAGCTCAATGTTAAATCAGAGCAAATAATTTAATTTAAAGAAAAACAGACCACTTTAAGGTTCCATTGTTATAATTTATTTCACCAGAGAGATTCTTTTTCCCTGGATCATCAGACCTCATTTCCAAGGATTAAAAAAATGAATTTAAACTTACACTTTTGAAGGGTAGTATTAAGCTTATGTAAGGTGATATAGAGAGTTGTGAGAGATAGTGTGATAGACATGGTCGAAATCAGAGAGGGAAGGGAGAGATAGGAATTCTTTTAAATTTATTTTTATTTTTAGTACATTAGTTAATAGTGAGGAGTGGGTGGGTAAGGATCAGACATTGACCATCTTAATAGGTCAACTCACCGGAAACGATATATATATATATATATATATATATATATATATATATATATATGCCCTTTTTATGTAGATATTCAAGTGTAATCCACTACATACAGAAAATCCACACACACACACACACACACACACACACACACACATATATATATATATGCCCTTTTTATGTAGATATTCAAGTGTAATCTACTACATACAGAAAATCCGTTCTATTTGGGATTTGATAGAATACTCAAAATTCCTCAATTCATACAAAAACAAAATGGAATAAAGATGTAAGCCTTACAAAATACATAACTCTTAACTGACAGACTAGATTTAAACTTTCCGTTTGCCTATTATTTAAAAGGCGCCAGGAAAGCCGTGCTGTCCAAACTGACCCTATGAATCGTAAATATAAGTTTCGGCTTATCAAATGAAAGCTGGAAGATAGAAAAATAGAATAACACTGAACCATATAAATTTACACACGAGGGAGAAGAATAGTGTTCGGCTCTACCAAGAAGCCTAAAAATAAATAAACAAGATAAGCCGTTTGGTCAAATTTTGTGAAAATAGACTTCTTCCGTTAGTGTATATACACACTGAGAGGGCTGAACAATACGAATGGGGATTTTATTGTGTCTAGAAGCGCATAACTTCTTGAAAAGGACACCTTTAAGGCTTTCTAAGATAAATATTTAAACAATACCAGTAAATGTGTGTATGTTTGTACTTCTTAAATGGCGTTTTTGGCCTACGGACCAATCCTGAATTTTTTTTATCTATATGTATGTGTTTTATATAGAGTCACTTTATATGTCTTTCTTTGCGTGTACACGTACGCATTATGCTCAAGAAAATTTCAGGAAATTTCAATTTTTTTTAAGCCAGGGGCGATTCGGAATTTAACAGAACGTTTATAGTACCGTGACCAGGAACGAAAAACTGGGTTACCACATCAATGTAAAAATTCTGGCATCAATTAATCCGAAACCAACGGCAGATCATAGACTGTGAAGGATTGTGTCTTTTTTTTTTTTTTACTAAAATTACTATAGTGCCAGACATGGTAACATCGATTCTAGGTGGTTGCTTTCTATGTGTTTCTGTGCATGCACACGTACGGGGGTGGAGTCTACTCAAGAATTAAAGAATTTTCAATAGAGCACACGAACTGAATGTTATTTTTATGCTAATGTTTACTCAATTCAAAGTCCAAGAGCAACTCAATGTAGGGGGTTATTTTGTAGTGTTTTTATGGGCTTAAGGTAAGAAATGATGTTCATGAGGTTTTGCAAGAGATATAACGGTTAACCTTAGACTTGAAGATGTCGAGACTGTAGAGGAGTGGGAAAACACCCTGGCGGGAATCTGTTCTCCAATTAGAAGCCCTTGAAAAGAAGCAATTCAAATGGAACTTCTTACTGTAAGAAGACGTAAAGAATAGGAATGGTTGACACTTGTATACGTGACATGACGGGCCCCTGCTGTAAAGGTTAGCCATGGGGGACTAAGGAATCTAGCTCGTTATAACACAGGCGATAGAAACAGTAATAGAGTAGCAAGAGTTTAGCAACGTTTCGTCTGTGGAAAAAGGGTTTTAAGGTGGAAAATAATTCTCCAGGCACGAGGCCTTGTAGATGTTTTTGAACTCTATCAAGACAGGAAAATGGCGACTGGACAGCTCCAGCCTAGATGTGGCAGCAATAATTCATTTTTGGTCTGGGATGTCTTCTGTAAAGATAGAATCTAAATATAGTATGAACTTTTGACGATGCCATTTTGATCTACACACTTTGTGAAGCAGTGTTCTCGTTCACAAGTTGAAAACTTTATAATACTGGATATTAAATATTTTTATAGCGAACATTCAGGCTATATTTTCTATAATAAATGTTCATATCTATCTATCTATCTATCTATCTATCTATCTATCTATCTATCTATCTATCTCAGTCTGGTTATCTATCTATCTATCTATCTGTCTATCTATCTATCTATCTATCTATCTATCTGAATCTACTAAATTTCACTCTTTTCATATCTATCTATCTATCTATCTATCTATCTATCTATCTGAATCTACTAAATTTCAATCTTTTCATTTCTATCTATCTATTTATCTATCTGAACCTGCTATTTTTCAATCTTTTTTATCTATCTATCTATCTATCTATCTATCTATCTATCTATCTAAGGCACTCTTCAAATCAATCTATATATATATATATATATATATATATATATATATATATATGAACCTTTCCATATGTATGTATGTATGTATCTATCTATCTATCTATCTATCTATCTATCTGCTAAATCTGATGATCTATCTATATATCTGAATGTGTTAAATCTCTCGCCTGTTTTATATACTAACCTGGTCCATAAGATAAATGTCAATTTTTTAGGTGATATATTTTTATTATGTATATGGAAACGTTTTAAACATCATTATTTTTTGTGTTTTATCTCAATGTTGTACATCGAGGAATTTTCCGTAGACATTGTGAAACCTCCGACGGGGATTGAACACCCATCCATAAGTCACGTCAGAATTTGAATTCTTTGTTTTAATTTACAGATGTTTAATTTAATAATTGAAGAGTGCATCATCCTTGAAAATTGAGAGCCCCAAAAAGCGTTAGTTAGATGAAATTCATTCAAAATTAAAAATAACTTTTACACCCGTTTTTATCCAGCAATATTCGATGGTATTTTTAATTAAATGCGGACATTTTAGATCCAAATTATCAATAAAATATTACTTCTTTTTTTGACAGGTCAACGAAGTTGCTACGTAACCCACTTTAACAAAAATGTATTCATCTACTTTCCACTAATAAGTGAATTTCTATCATTCTATGAAGATATAGTTTTGACCTTCTGGAAGTTGCTCTTTGTTAAGGTCCTCTTTATATTGTGAGTAGCTGAATTTAAGTGTGATGGTGTGACTTGTGAAGATAACCTCTGAGCTTTTTTCACGGCTCTTATGCACTTGCAAAAATGTCGATCTCGTACATAATATAAAAGTATAGGATGGGCTAGTAAGTTTGATAAGGAGATAGGTATATATCCAGTCAAAGAATTTAGACCAAAAAGTGAATGAAAGTAGAATAGAGAAAGAAAAGGAATCTTAAAAGAATGAGGAGGGAAGAATGAGTGTCACCGAAAGAAAAGGAGAAGTGAAGTGAGACACAGATAGAGAAAAAGAGAGAGAGAGTGAGAGAGAAAGAGAGCGAGAGTGAGGGAGAAGGAAACGGCGTATAGCAACTTAAAATGAATTAAAAAGAAATTTAGGAAAACAAGAAAGAAAAATAAATACAGGATGAAAAGATGTTAAGACGGAAAGGAAAAAATGATGGAGAAAATTCGGAGAAGTCAGCCAAAATGTAGGAAAAGGCGAATCTGATAGGAATAGAAGAGAGGAAAAGAGAGAGAAAGAAAGGAAAAAGTCGAAAAGAGAAAGAGACAGGAAGAGAGAAAGAAACAGAAAGAGAGAGATAGAGAGATAGAGAGAAAGAGATAAAGAAAAAGAGCGAAAAATGAGGAGAAAAAAAAAGAGAGCTATAGCCAGAAAGAGAAAGAAAAAAGAAAGGGAGAAAGAAAGGGAGAAAGAAAGAAAAAGGCAGAGAGAACGGAAGAGAGGAAAAGAGAGGCAAAGAGAAAGAAAGAAAGAAAGAAAGAAAGAAAGAAAGAAAGAAAGAAAGAAAGAAAGAAAGAAAGAGTAGAAAGGCACAACGTGAAACACAGAGTTAAAGACAGAGATAGAGAAATAAATGGACGGAGAAAGAGAGAGCAAGCGATAGAGAATATGCGAGGAAGAGAGAGAGAGAAAAAGAGAGGAAGATATAGATAAATACATATGTAGAGTGAGAAAAAGAGAAAGATAGAGAAAGAAGAAAGACACAGGAAAAGAAAAGTATTGAAAGATAGAGGCAAGAAACTAGAGAGTAATATATAGAAATAAAACGAGGAAAAGTGAGTCACTGAGAGAGAATTAGAAAACATATAGAAAACATAGAGAGAGAGAGAGAGAGAGAGAGGGAGAGAGAGAGAGAGAAGGGAAAGAGAAATATTTCAATACAGGGAGAGGAGACTGAAAAGAAACAGAAGGAAAAATAGAAAGCAATATATAGAAACATATATATATATATATTTGTATATATATATATATATATTTAGATAGATAGATAGATAGATAGATAGATAGAGAGAGAGAGAGAGAGTGAAATATAAAGAGAAGAATTAGAAATATATGCGGTAGTTGATAGATAAAAAGTTAAAAAAAATCGAAGCCATTGTTCTGGGAAAGTAAATCAAGATTATCATGTTGTGAATGATGGTAAAGTGAGTGTTTAAAAGAATGAATCCACAAGACACAAGCGCCATAAAAATGAGGCAAAAATATATTGTCCTGTTTCGTCCTTTACTGCGGTGAGCGTACTAAAAAGTTTCATTGAATTCCATGCATTCGCAGAACTTCAGCTTGGCTGCGAAGTCACCCAAAGTTATCCGTGAGTGGATGTGAAAAGCGTTTGAACAGAGGACGGAAAATGAGACTTTGTAAACAGAAGGCTCATTGGGATAGCGAAAGATGCCTTCCAAATGCTAAGCAAAGCATTTAGAGACAGAATAATTTCGTTAGAAACAAAGAAAAGAGTACTGAATTGTTACCTGATGTCAATCCTCCAAAATGGCAGTGAATGCTGAACAATCTCCTCACAGATGAAAAAAAAAAAAAAAAAAAACTTGAAGCAACAGAAATTTAGTTCTACGAAATAATGGATTTTTTAAATTTATTAATCCGAGATATTTTTTACCACTTTAAACGCTATTTTTTTTTAGTGTATACCCATATTTGAATAGACGCTACATTTGCTTTTTAAAAATGACAAAAAAAAGGTAGGGTTAATTAACAATTCCATTACAGTGGAACCTCGGTTCACGAATGTAATTCGTTCCTGAAGGCCGTTCGTAACCAGAAATGTTCGTAAACCGAAGTTAATTTTTCCAAAAGGAATCAATGTAGAGAGAAAAAAAAGTCACATTACAATGAAAATGGAAAAGAAAAGCGCGGCACGACACACAAATGTATACAACATGGCGGTCGACTCAGAAATGATTCTGTTCGGGTTAATTCGGTTCGGCAATGTTGTTGGAAAACCGAATTTTTGTTCGATAACCGAGGTATTTTCATCTCGAATTTTCTGTTCAAAAACCGATTCGTTCGAGAACCGAGGTTGCCTCTGTATTTCTTTAGAAATTGCTTGGTTTAAGTTTCGGATACGTAACGGAGATGTTATAAACGAGAAAGTTGTACTTAAAAGCAGTATAACTGGTCTGCTGCTCCTGCTATTCAACTTGGTTTTCTTGACAAAATCCAAAGAAGGATCTGGAATGTAATCAATCCTGAATTAGCATTTCGATTTCAGTCATTTTCTCACAAAATGGTGCGGAATCCCTCAGTCCTTTCTAGAAACATTTTCATGGCAACTGGTCGGACGAGCTTTTTTCCCTGGAGCCGCGACTACATTAATTCAATCGTGCTATTAGATTGGCATCTAAGTGCAACCGTTTTACCTTTGAAATAATTAAATGTAAACTACAATCTTCAAAAATGCAATGCAACGTCAATCGTTATCTTCTGTCGTCTTGAACCTCGTTCATCTTTTATCCATTTCTCATTCCTCTCTATACCCAGTGTTTTCTCTCTCTTTCACTCCCATTAAACCTCTGCGTACTAGTTGCATTTCCACACTGCTTGGAGTGAAATGATATATTTATATATGATTGAATAAGGAACAAATAGGAAATGTACTTTTGTCCTCGTTAGAATCCTTCTTACGCCCATGCGTTGAATATTGTTACCATCTCTGGTCTGGTGCCCCTGTTCTTCATCTCGAAGTTCTCGACAAATTCCAAAGAAGGATCTACAATATAATCGGTCCTGATTTGACATCTCGACTTCTGTATGTTTCTCAAAGAAATAATGTGGCTTCGCTCTGTCTTTTCTAAAAATATTTTCATAGCAACTGTTCTGATGAGCTATCTTCCCTGATGACCCGACTACACGAATTTAAGTGAGCTACTAGATTGGCATTTAGGTCCCACCCTTTTACTGTTGGAATAGTTAAATGCAACCGTCAATTCTACTCCAGGAGGTTTCTTTTCTCACACATCCCGACAGTGGAATTCCCTTCCTCTTACTTGCTTCTTAGGTAACTACAATCTTCAAAAATGTAATGCAACGTCAATCGTTATCTCCTGTCGTCTTGAAACCCGTTCATCTTTTATTCATTTCTCATTCCTCTCTATACTCAGTCTTTTCTCTCTCTTTCACTCTCTGTAACCCTCTGCGTACTAGTAACATTTCCGCCTTGCTTCGAGCGAAATGATATATTTATATATGACTGAATAAGGAACACATAGGCAATATTTATAAATGTTTCGCTTTTATTTAAGATTTATCAAAATAAATAAATAAATAAATAAATAAAATTAAGTGAGTTGTGGAAGAGAATATTCAATGTCAATCGACATCTCCAGTAACCTTGATCTATCCACTATCCCTCTCCTCATCCTTTCTTCTATCACTCCTATCTGCTCTTGCTCCAAATCTTCTGCAACCCCCTGCATCCTAGTGGCTTCACGCCTTGCTCGGGGCGTAATGCTTAAAAAAAAAAAAAATATATATATATACATTTGAATTCTTTGTTTTTTTTTTTCATTGGTCCGATAGATTTCATATGTTTACGTTTTGTCGTGTTTTTGTTGTGTGTGCGTGTGTGGGCGCGCACGTGGGTGTGTGCCTGTGTGCGTCTGCGTGTCTGAATTCTAGTGGGCATATTTGTGTCCGTGTGTTTAAGTCCAGACGATGATAGTAGAAGTATTTAATTTCTTGAAGATGGTAGGGTATTTGTGTATGTGTGTGTGTGTTTTTGCGCGCGCAGAGACAGACAAAACCCCGCAGAGACATACATAGTAATACACACAGAGACCTATACACATTCTAACACTGCAATGTACCCACTAAAGTTAATGCTTATATATATATATACATAGAGTTTAAAATGATCGACAAGTTATTGCGGTTAAACCTTTTATTTAATTTTAAGTTTTTTTTTAATGGATATTGTAATGTTATGTTCCTTGTTGACTGCCGGGTCATGTAATTTAATAATGGTATATTTGGGCAGCAATCCATATTTTATACATGCTTCTCTAAAAAAATTAAAATGCAACATCAAGCGCAATCATCTGTCTTCATGAAAATTTTTCTTTTCATTAACTTTTTTGTCACTTAGATCTTGTCATTCTCTTTCACACTTAGTGACCCTTTGCAACTTAGATGAATTATTGCCTTGCTTAGTGTGAAGTAAAAATATATATATATATATATATATATATACACATAGAGTTTAAAATGTATATATATATATATGAAAATAAAATATGTATATATATATATATATGAAAATTAAAATGTATATATTTATATATGAAAATGTATATATATATATATATATATATATATATATATATATATATATATATATATATATATATATATATATGAAAATTTCTCCGATTTAACCAGTAAACTGTAAAGTTAACACAAAGTATTTATGAATATTAGTTGTTTCATGTAAACAAAACAAAACCTACACACAGATCGAGTCAGAATATACAGGAAACAACTAATATTCTTAAATACTTTGTGTTAAATATATATATATATATATATATATATATATATATATATATATATATATATATATATATATAAATGGTGGTACTCGTATGGAAAAACCTCGATAGCAGCAGAACAAATCGCTAGCCGAGGAAAAATGGAGAATAAAAAAGAAAGAACCAAGAACATTAAAACAAGGCGAAAAACAATTTTCAACTTTTTAAGCTTCACGCCCAAAGGCAAAAAAACATACAAAGCGAGTAAAAGAAAACTACGTAAAGTGCACTAAGTAGTGCGATAACCTAAAATAATCCGAAGAAGCCAGGCAAACCTACCTAGGTTTCACCTAATCGGATCTTCAGGGTAAAGCCTTCTTATTTTATACACACACACACACACACACACACACACACACACACACACACACACACATACACACACAC